AAGCTTGGAAAGAGCACAATGAGACTGATTCCAATCTTTAGATTGCAGGCGCGTCTTAGACAGAATATTAATGATGTGTGAGAGGCAATAAAAAAAAAAGCAATGTGGTTTTAATTAAATCAGCTGACAAGCCACCATTCCATCTTGTCTGATTACTACAGAGTTACTGAACATGACCAAATACAGCATGTAACACGGGAAAATGGTAAATAATCATTGTCAGAGCATTGAGTTGCTCCTGGCTTTCAGTCAGGGTCATGAGCTTCTGCAATGGTCCTTCATATAACCTCATTGACTCTGGCCACTTAGAGCTAAATGGTCAGGTGGACAGCAAAGGTAGGTATCACTTCATCAGCCACAGGTAAAAATGTCCCAGGAGATCCCTTTGCCACAGAGGTTCAGAAGACAAGCAGTGCAGCTTTCAGCAGAAGGGCTCAGGGACTTCTATGGCCCACACAAGGTGAAACTTCCTTCTGGTACACTGCAGATATTTGTGTGAGGGGTATGCGTGGTCACTGGCTTGTGGACTGAGGAATGCAACAGTATTTTACTTACTAATGAGTCTCAATAGAAGTGTTAAGGCACTACACATACAGTAACACCTACTACTCTGAAGTGCCTGGAAAACACACTAATCGCTCTTCCCTGGAAAATTCAGTTAAACAAAATAAAAGTGGTCTCAGCTACAGAGAGTGTCAGAAAGGATGAGTGGGTGGGAGGAAAGGATAAAGAGGCCCACAGTGGTTCCTTCAGAAAAAAAAGAATGTGTGCAAGTGTGTGGTGTGCATGTGTCTTTTTTTTAAACCACAAGTCAAAGTTTCCCCAGAGCCTGAGCCTTTAAGGGTTTGAAAATCCAGCAGTGCTGGCCAGCCATCCACTTTATGGCTGGCCACTGAGAACACTGCAGTGTGGCATAACATGTTCATACAACACCATCAACGTGTGACCGCGACCATCACTATTGCCACGATGGAGAGATAAGTGTGTGGCCTGAACAAATTGCAGTGAGGAAGGAAGAAGCGTGGTGGGAAACACCCATTTTCACACCATATGATGAGATTAATGGTAAAAATATAAAAGCAACACAGCTTAGCCTTACTTAAGCAAATCACACCCACAGCTAAGATAAGAGTTGCCATCTAGCAAAATCTTTCTGATTGCCCAGAGGTAAAAGTATCCAGGAGTAGCACTGATGCAACCATCCAGGAATACTACCTGACCCTTCTTCTGAGCAGAGGTGGTTTTGCACGGTGAACAGACTGCATAGTAACACATTTGCATGTCATGAGTAATTTGAGTGCCCCTCTACCAAGATGTGCTATGAGCAAACATTCAGCAGCACGCTATGAGTTCCCAAGGCAAGAACTGACTTCTACTCAATGTGTTTTTGTCAGGCCTCACCATCCACTAAGCAGGTAGTAACAGCATCAGATCTAGGTCACTGTGAAGGTAGCAACAACGAAATGGAAAGAGCAGGGAAGAAACAAGGATGAGCTTCAGGAAACTCCAAAACCTTGAGGAGTCCTCTTGCAATCACAAGTCTTATGACATCATGAGACGATCTAGTCCATCAAGGAACAGTATCAGAAGACCATCAGGTGCAGCATGGCAGGATGTGCTAACTGGCTAACTGCTAACTTTGCTAACTGCAGCATGGATTTCTTGGAGAAACACCACCAAAAGTGTCTTCTAGAAGAGTTCCTTCTAAGGGAAACGTCATAATTTGTCTTGCATGTGATTGGAATGAAATTAAATTCTTCATGCAGATTATATGCTCCCACCGTTGACTGCCTTGATCTGGCTGCCTGACTTGCTTAAGATTACTGTTACATGCTGGAGTCCTCCAGGGAATAAATATGCAGCATAGCTGCAGAGGTAAGTTTGACTGCTACGTATGCCATTATTTAAGTAGTTATGTGAAATCTTGGTTGGAATATTATTAGTAGAGGTCTTGTCCAAAACTCTAACTCCTCTACAGATTCATTAAAAGGGAGAGAGCAAAGGTGGACTTACAAGAATTCTGCCTGTGCATTATCTTTTTGAAAATCATGAGTATAATAGAATCATAGAGTCACAGAATGGTTTGGGTTGGAAGGGATGTTTGAAGATTGTCTAGTCCAACCCCCCTGCCATGGGCAGGGACACCTCCCACTAGACCAGGTTGCTCAAAGTCCTGTCCAACCTGACTTTGAACACTTCCAGGGATGGGGCACCCACAACTTCTCTGGGCAACCTCTTCAGTGTCTCACCACCCTTATCATAAAAAAAAAATCTTCCTTATATCCAATCTAAATCTACCATCTTTCAGTTTAAAACCTTGTCCTGTCACTACAGACACTGGCAAAAAGTCTTTCTCCATTTGTCTTATAAGCCTCCTTTAAGTATTGAAAGGTCGCAATAAGGTCTCTCCAGAGCCTTCTCTTCTCCAGGCTGAACAACTCCAACTCTCTCAGCCTTTCTTCACAGGAGAGTTGTTCCAGCCCTCTGATAATTTTTGCAGCTGTCCTTTGGAACTGCTCCAACAGGTCCACGTCTTTCTTGTGCTGGGGGCCCCAGAATGGGATGCAGTACTGCAAATGGGATCTCATGAGAGTGGAGTAGAGGGGGAGAATCGCCTCCCTTGACCTGCTGGCCACACTTCTTTTGATGCAGCCCAGGATGTGATTGGCTTTCTGGGCTGCAAGCACACATTGCCAACTCATATCCAATTTTCCAGCCACCAGTATCCCCAAGTCCTTCTCTATAGGGTTGCTCTCAATCAATTCATCCTCCAGTCTGTAGTGATATTGGGGATTTCCCTGACCCAGGTGCAGAACCTTGCACTTGGTCTTGTTGAACTTCATGAGGTTCACTCCTCAAGCCCACTCCTCAAGCCTGTCAAGGTTCCTCTGGATGGCATCCCTTTCCCCAAGCATATCAACTGCACCACTTGCCTTGTTGTCATCCACAAACTTGCTGAAGGTGCACTCGATCCCACTGGCTATGTCATTAATGAAGATGTTAAATAGTATTGGTCCCAGTAAAGACCCTTGCGCGACACCACTTGTCACTGGTTTCCATTTCTACATTGAGCTGTTAACTGAAACTATTCGGATGCAACCATCCAGCCAAGTCCTTATCCATCTAATAGTCCATCCATCAAACCCATATCTCTAATCAACTCTTTGTCTTCCAT